GCATTGACTCAGGAAAATGATGAATCTCACTAGAGAGAAGCAAACAAGTTGGGTGAGTGTATGAATGAACATTCAAAATGAAACTCAAACATATGATAATGAATATACAAAATATCATGCAAACAACACTAATACACATGCAAAACATGCCAACCATGCCAACCGCTAGGTCAACTGGGGTAGTCAACCCAAGGCAATGTAGCCAGTAGGCCTCAATCAGGCTAAGGTGGCCAACTAGGCCAAAGTGAATGGTCGACTAGACCAAAGTAGTCGGTCGACCGGGTCAGGGCGATCGGTCGTACCAAGGTGATCGGTCGACCGGGTCGGGGCGATCGGTCGAACCAAAGTGTAATGTCAACCGAGCCAGGGTGGTCGCTCGAGGAAAAAATGTGGTATGTGAAATGCAACATAAAAAAACACATGTAATTGGTCAATCAGTAGGCATATGACCGGGCCAACAAACTTCCCTAGCATGAGTGACCAAACTCGCAGCGACACCACATACAAGGCATACATGTAGTTGGTCAATCAAGAGACATATGGCCAGGCTGACATGTATCATTCAGCCAATTGAATTGTCCGGTGATGGAAGATTAATAGAGTTGGACGATGTCGAGTGGTCGGTCATACCTGCCTCGTGTGGGCAGCCAAACCGATAAGCATACAAACATACAATGCGATGTGCAAGATGCAATTGATCATAATTAATAGCGAGTCAAATTCAACTAACACCCTTAGATAGACAACTAGAGTTTTAGCTCTTAGATATGTGGTATAGCCATCTCTGGCTTTAATGAGCAACGTGTAGAACTTTGTCCTCTGATTTCTCATAGGAAAAATCTTTCACTATTTTTAGGATAAACTAACTACAAAACTTTTTTTCCATCTTGCAACCCCTTCCACGATCTTGTAGAATGGGTTAGCTACAATGTTTTTCCCATTCTTCAAGATCCAACTATTTCAATACCTCTAAGAAAGGTTGGAAGCCTCAAAGCCTTGGGAAATTGGGATTCCAATCCACTAAGATTTAGATCTAGGGTTTATAACGGGAAGTCACTCAGATTTGCAAAGGATTTGGCTACGAATATGCTTTCCAACCTAGGGTTTCCTATAGGAAATCAACAACTTAAACCTAGCATTCTCTACAAATAACTTGGGTTTGGGTAAGAAAAAGCAAAGGGCTTTAGGGAATCTCATCGTCGTTATGGTTGAGCGACGTCCCAAACCTATGTCAAGGATGAAGCTTTCCTAACGGTAGGAGAGAAGCCCATGCAAGTCCTTACCCAAAGTAACGAGGAAGCTCTTCTGTAGGAGGAGAATTTAGCGAGATTCCGCCGAAGTTACAAACTTCGGCGAAGTTTCGGCGATGATTCGATGATCCTTCCCCAAGCTAGGATGATGCTCTTCTTTAGCGTAGGAGAAGAGACACAATGCTCCTTGTTAGCCAATCTCCTCCTCAAGAAGATTTCCTCACAAAATCAAGTGAGGTGGAGGAAGAAGGAGCTGAGGAAGAAAAGAGGAGAAAGAAAAAGAAGAAGAAGGTTGAAGATGGCCAACTCCCTTAACTCTTCTCCTTAAAAAAGATGAAGAGTCTCCCTCGCTTACTCCAAGCTCTAAACTCCAAGGAACCTCCAAATTCCTTGAGGAAGAAGATAAAGTTTTTCCTCTAGTCCTTTTAAGCTATCACCAACAGCCAAAAACTGAAAATGAGAGGAGATGGTTTGAAATAAGGAGGGGTGATAGGTTAAAGTAGAGTTTTCCCTCTCTTTTGCCAAAAAAAGGGTTTGCTAAACCCCCTCGGAACCTTCCAAAAGAAGCCCAAAAGAGGTATAATCACCCTCTTGTCTCATTCCCAAAGCAAATCAACCTTAAAACAAAAAAAATCTCTGCAATTTCAGCTCGTTGGGGAGTGTGTCGGGGTCAAATCGCTCACAAAATCTAGAAAAATCACATCTTAGAAGTGAACCAGCACTAGCCACAACCCCGAAGCCCTGCCGCCTACTTTTCATAGGCTTAGAAAAGTAGCTGTTTTTTAGCTGTTTGGGCACCAAAGCGCTAGAAACTGATGCCAAACTTCCCTGCCCTCAGGTTTTAAGCCCCTTAGAGGTTGTTTTGGGCAGCCCCGGGCGCCTAGGTGCCGGTCTAGCCTCGAAAATGTTGTTTTCGCTGGAAATTTATGGCGGAAGTTTTTATCGATCTGAAAGCTATGAGAGATGACATATGAATAAGTTATGATGCCCTAAATTCAAAAATGAGTATTTTGCTCGTTCATGGGTCAAAGAATTTATCGCCAACGAGCGTTCTGAACTTTGGCTCGGTTAATGCATTCCGAACCCTAATTTTCTCTTAATGTGGGTTTGCGGGTTTCGTGACTTCCCTTGACCTCGGGGAGAGTCGGAGTGGATACAGAGGGAGCCCTAAACACCAGAATTAATATCAAACATGTCGAATGTTATGGTTGAGTTCATTCAACTGTGTGTTCCCCCAGGTAGGATCGAATCATCACAAACCCTGGTTTCGTGCACCGAACACGTACCAGAGGTCTCAGATGAGTGCCATGAGCTACGGGATGCTACAAGTGAGTATTGAATCGTTCCGAGCTAGTCATGTGGATACACTACATACGTGACATAAAAAATGAATGTCAATAATTTTATTACTATCATAACAAAATATTCATGAGTTAATAAATCCATTAGGATTATTTAATATCTAACTTTAAATAAACGATCATAACTGTTAACCAGCCAGGCATTTTCATCCTAAAAAGGAAAAGTTGAAATCCGGAAAAAAAAAATCATTAATTTCAGAAAAAGTTGAGCAGAATACTTGATTAAGGACATGACTTTGAAGGTGAAAATGCACAGTTTTGCTTCCGTTTTAGTGATGCTCTAAGTGATATTATAGCACTAAGTTCTCTTTTCTTTTCGCCATGAATCAAAAGTTATAAATTTTGCAAGGAAACATATGACAACATAGATTTATTTATGTACTTGTTGTTCTGTATATTTTTCTCAAGCCAAATGTGCTTGAATAAATGTGCAGAGAACTGTAGCAGAAGCTTAGTTTGAGCCCATATGCAAATGACTTTTTCTGTCTGTACTGTTTTTATTGGGAATCATTCTCATCAACTGAATTCCGCTAAAACTCTTTCTCTTCCTCAAGAAAATATGTAGCTAAACAAGCATCATAAAAAGAGAACAAGTGCTGGATTTCACTCTGCATTTAAAATTTAAGCAATTTGTACAATCAGTTTGTATAGAAATGAGAAAAGTGTCAAAATAATCCTCTGACTCTTTTCAGGGGTTCATTTTATTCCAAGAACATGTAAAATTGCCAATTTAAAAAGTCTGGGGGCTAATTTGACAATTTTAAGGAAATTTGAGATTAAAATGACTCATGTAAATAGTCAAGGGACTATTTTGGCACTTTACACATATAGAAACATATGATATTCACATATGATTTTATTAATAAAAAAATGAAATATCAATAGGATTGCAGTGATGAAAATGAGTTTTCTATCAGTGGGGGTATCTTCTTGATTCTTTGCTTGATTCCTCAAGCCACCATATTTTTAAACTGCTTTGCTTGCTTTTTGATTTTGATGATCATCTTTAGGAATTATTGAGAGACAACTTTAATTGGCCAAATGACTTGTGCTTCACTTGCCAACAGACCACAAAAGCTGGGGTCTCTCAGCATTATCCAGGAATCTGCTTTACATGTTTGAGAATATTAAACAAACAGAAAGCTTTGCAAGTACTGCAGCTGATTGAAAAGAAAAAGTTTCTCTCAGTGCCTCATATATCTACTAATTTATATGTTTCTTTTGCAGATTCATTAGTGTTTTTTAAGATTTTGATTTGGTTAATTAAGCTTAGTTGCATAAATTAGTTAAATATACACTAGAATCCATAACTGTAGATCTTTCTTACTAGGAAATTATGTGGCTAAGTATATATATATATATATATATATATATATATTAAAAAAAGGCATAAAATGAGCATCCTTTAATGCAACCAAAAAAAAAAAAAAAGGATTTAAAGGGGGGAACATATACTTTTGATGCAATTATTTCTAATTGAAAATACACAACTCGCAATTTTTTCCTCTTAAATTATTCACGGTTTAATTGATATTTAATTTTAGGTGCATATCATCACTTACAGATAATTTAAATTAAGGACGGGTCTGAGAAGCCCTCTCTTTATTGTAGTACTTGCTACTCTTTAATGACATTCTGAGTCTAATGATGATCAGACCAAAGGAATGTCTCTTCTTAGCAAAGCAGCATTTTGCAGATCAATCACGTAATAATCAAATTCTGATTCTGCAAGACATTCTGTTGCTGTACATCACACTTTGATTCTATACATTTTCTTTCCTGCTTAAACATTTTGGAAAACAGTTTTCATTTATATGAGAAATTCATGTAAAATTTGAAAATTTTGTTTTACAAAATTTCAAATTATCACATATATAAGCGTAAAGTGATTTTTTTTCAGAGGAATAAAAAGTAAATTGAGATTTTGGTGCTGGATCTGGTCTTTATCTGAAACAGTAGTAGCTTTAATTGGCTGATTAAAAATTCTAATGCATATACTAATTGCTCAAAGAACTGTTAGATAACAGCATTTGAACTACTTACGTTCCTACAGTTCCTTTAAAGCTCCTAATAGTTTAACTTATAAGACAACTTTCCCTAAAGGAATCGAATGGCCTTCTTACACACGTCCTCCGCTTGTAATTTAGCTTTCATTATTGCCATAAAAATAGAATCTTTTTCTCACAATGAGCTCTCTTTCATGGGCTAATGAGCAGGTAGAGCTTCGTTATCTTCTTCTTTGAAGCAACGGATTGGATTCTTTGATTCTCCATCATCAGAAAAGCCAAAGGCAATCGGCCACCTTCGTTAAAGAAACATTGGTGGCTTCTTAAATGTGAAATTTCATTCTTGAAATATCTGCCTGTTCTCTGTAGCATAGAGAAAAGGAATATTAGGGAAAGGAGAAGCAGTCAATTATGTTTTCCCTTCGAAGCAATGTGCTGCTGAGAAAGTTGGAGGTTCATTATTGAAAATGGTGGGGCTCTCTAATCAGCGAGAGAATCCAGTAAAGAATGTGCAAGAAAACAATGCACTCTTTTTCTTCTTTTCTCTCCTTTTGAGACACTAATGTGAACTATTCTTATTCTCTGTTTACTGAAGTGAAGATTCTCTTGCTTTCAAGTCAAAGAAATGGAAAGAAAAAGATTTAGCCTTAAATCAAAGGAAGTCGACATGGAGTGGACACAGCTCATGCATATATTCTTCTTCTACTCAGCTAAGTTATATTTATTTGAGTAAAACTTGGAGCATAGTTGAGCGGCATCTTTGCATGTTGCAGAAGGAAAGGTAACAATATTTAAGCTTTCTTAATGTTTCTCCCCCAATTTCTCTCATTTCATTCATCAAATTGGTTAGTAGCAAATGCCTAACCGACTAGATCACCATGGGCCGGTTCTCTCGGCTGACGGGAAGCCGAGACTCAAATGGACTAGAGAGCTTCACGAACAGTTTGTTGATGCTGTCTCCGAGCTTGGAGGAGCAGAGAGTTAGTTCTCACTTAGCTGATGTTCTGAAAGGCAAACTTTTAGGCAGGTTTTCAAATTTTGATCTTTTTTTTTTAATAATCATGTTCCAACGGTAGAAGCAACACCCAAGTTGTTGATGCGGCTGATGGCAGTACCAGGACTCACTCTCTATCATCTGAAGAGCCACCTTCAGGTATTTGATTTGCAGTTCTCGCTCCCTCTTCTTCCAGTAAGTGGAGATTATGATAGCAAAATTGTTCTCTCTGTTCTCAGAAATACAGACTCGCAAAGAATCGGGATCCGAGCACTCTAACTAATGATAAGAAAACAAGTAACCTTCCATTCTTTTCAGTGATCTTAAATTTCTTATTTTTAATTCATTTTCTGACATTAAATTCTATGCTATTATTGCATAGAAGATGACGAGTTGAAGAACAGAAATGATAAAACCCAACCTCAATTGAATGAGTAAGATGCAAATCATCTCAGGGGCTAGTTCCTCCATAAGAACCAATTAATTAATATAGCTCCATATTCTTTTTCAGAGCCATCTTGCAGCAGATACAAATAGATGTTCATAGAAAATTGCAAGAACAGATTGAGGTTTCATCTAATCATTTCTCCTTGTGGTTGACTGTAGAATAGTCCCACATCCGAAGTCAAACAGTATTTGAATTAGGAATGCACTTACTGAACCCAACTCGAACACCTCTTATTTCTCATAAAGTTTTATTCTTTTTCTATTCCTTTCTAGGTTCAGAAGCACCTTCAACTGAGGATAGAAGCACAGGGAAAGTATTTGCAGTCTGTGTTGAAAATAGCACAAGAAACACTAGCAGGTTACAGCTCAACTTTAGGTACCGAAGCTGCAAGAAGTGAGCTTTCAGAGCTAGTTTCAGTAGTTGAAACTGAGTGCTTGAGCTCATCTCTCAACCATGGCGGCCTCATTTCCAAAGGAAACCAGAATGCTGATTCCTCCATGGATAGTTGCTTGACTTCAGAGCTATTTGAGCTGAGAGAAAAGTATGCTGGCCAGCACAAGCTTGAGGCCAGCTCTTGTTCCAATCCAGTTAACGGCAGAACAGCTGAAACGCGAGGAGAAATAGAGGAATTTGATCTGAACAATTAGTGATTGAAATACAAACAACTTATTATTGCTTTTAAGCAATCTGTGAGCTGAAATATATGAACTTTCTGACTTCTAAGGCTTTATCTTTGATTGTCTCAGCAGATTCCATTACTGCTATGCTTGATGGCAGAGTGAACTGAATTTCTTATATATTTTCATAAGCTGGGTAATAAAGAATAGTGTTCAGAATGTATTCAAATATAATATAGAGTTGGATGCCATCTGTATGATGTAAAGCAGATTCCATTACTGCTATGCTTAATGGCAGTGAACTGAATTTCTTATATATTTTCATAAGCTGAGTAATAAAGAATAGTGTTCAGAATGTATTCAAATTTAATATAGAGTTGGATGCCATCTGTATGATGTAAAGGAGATCAAACTTAAAAGCTAACTCTACAAAGTAATATTTTAAATATCTGGCACACTATGGATCTTTTCTTTTCCTTTTTCTACTCTAGCAAGTTAATCTTTGATATTACTAAAATATGACTCAAACATAAATATTTTATTATTGGTTGCTCTATAATGTTGAAATTAAGTTGGGTTTTTAATGATATAAATAATATTTTTAGAGGGGCATTTTGATCAATATAGTTAAAATTTTATAGCAATTCATCAAATAATCCATATTAAATTCCTTGTTAATAGATAAGTTATTTATTAATTAAGTATTTTAGTGACTTTAGAGTTAAATGATATTAGATTTATAGGATTTTTTGGTTGAAATATTTGACTTGATTATAAACATGCTAAATTTAATGATCATCTTCTTCTTTAATTATTATTACAAAATTTTTAACTATCTTTTAGAAGCTTGATTTGGACTCTAATTGGATTACTTTTAACATTGTTAGATTGGTAATTGAAATGTTTAATTTGAGTGTGAACTTCTTAAATTGAAGACTGAATATTAGATAACTCTAAATTTATTTTTTAAAAATAACAACTTAAAAATAATATAAAAAATCATGATTGATTAAGTGAATTCTATGATGAAGTATTATATATTATTAACTTTTGAGGCTACAATAAGATCAACTACTAAATTTATACTGAAGTGAAAACTTCTATATATCAACACATAGGTACATGTAAAAACTAAAAATGAGCCACTTAATAAAAGACGAAAGAAATATATATATATATACATGTACATATGCCATGTGCGTGTTCCATGGTCTGTTGGTAGAGCAGTCTCTTTGAAGGTCATAAGTCTCCTCAGATCCCAGGTTCGAATCCCCTACTGATGCAATGTCTCCTTAAGGTATATACATGTACATATGCCATGTGCTTGTTCCATGGCCTGTTGGTAGAGCAGTCTCTTTAAAGGTCATAAGTCTCCTTAGATCCCGGGTTCGAATCCCCTACTGATGCAATGTCTCCTTAAGGCAGGTGGTACTCGAATTTATTTGCACACCCTGTCGGCTCCCACACCCGACTGAAGTTACCACATTAAGGGTTGATAGACAGTTCCACCCGTCGATCAATCTTTAAAATCTCCCTCTCTCTCTGTGTATAAGGATGGTCAGAGTCGTTTAATAGCCTCCGGTCATTACTTTATTTAATACACCTCTCTTTGTATAGGGATGGTCGGAGTCATTTAATAGCCTCCGGTCATTACTTTATTTAATACACACACACACACATGCCATCTAAATAAGAATCTTTTGAAGTAGTAGGCTCTGAAAAACATGACTCAAGCTCTATCCAATGGGAAAAAGGTCTAGTGAAGTATCATAATCATAGAATTCATTTTAATGAATATAAGTCTCAATTGAAATGAGCATAATTCATCATAGCTCAAAACTTAAATTTGGACATCATAAAAGATAAAAGACAATTTATTCTGGAAAATTAACTTCTTAAACATCAAAAGTTTATTTCTTTAAAATCCATTTTGTAATAGAAACAATAAACTAACAAGAAATAAAGTTATTAACTAAATCTTGAAGCAAAAGAGAGAGACATATTTTTCAATCCTGCTAACTATTCTTAAAGCCTGTTAATAAATGGGAGGCAATTTAGAACTTGAACACTTGTAGTACCTAGAGAAATCCATAACAAATCAATAGAAAAATTTCTTTTTTATAAACCAATCACTTAAAAAATAAAATAAAATGCGAGATATTTTTGGGGAAGCAAATTTCAGACTTATTAGCTAAAAGAGGAAGATTCTTATTGAAAGTTTGTACAAGTTATGAAATTAGCATGCTCCACTATAAGCAATTCATCAACAAAGATGTTCAGAGTAATTGAAGTTCGTGAATTCTTAATTGGATTATAACAACCATTAAGGCTAGTTTGTTGATTCATATTTAGATTATAGTAGCATTAGAAACCTCATTAACCTAAAATCTTGACAGGACATTCACAATTTTGATAAATAGGAACTTGATGATATTTTAAACTCTTCGATTTTTCCATTGAGCACATCTTAAAAAAAACATTGTTAATGCAAATACATTTCAAATTAATATAAAGATGAGTGAATCCCTTTCAAAGGCGCCTTTTAAGAATGCAAGCTTTTTTAAGATCAATTTCAGTGCTTAAAAGATGACCAAGAGTCATGGATTTAAAGTTATGGGTGTGCTCATAGGCCAATGCAATGAAGGCATGATTTACTATATAGTATTAGATAATAAGTGTCATGCAGAGATCTTAATTTGAATAATGAAAAATGTCTTTTATTCTAAAGTAGTTTCTAATTTATAGATATATGCACGCACTCACACCCACACACATATTATCAAAAGCCCAAAATTGAGAGATAACCACTAATCCGTATAAGTCTGATATTTTTCAGCTGAGCCATCACTATATTGGTGCATCGATTGACTGATCAATGTTCAAAACGGTTCTAGCAACCTACATCACTACCCACAAGCAGTAGATTTCCTTATATTACACAAAAAAGAGTTTTAGAATATATTATATTTTCAATATGATAATTTTTGGTTTTATAACAAAATATAATTTGCATTAATAAAATTTATTATTTTCACTAATGATTACATGCACGAAAAACAAAACTCATACTTACATGATTGAATTTAATATTCATAAATTTTCACGACAAAAAAATCAAACAAAACTTTTAATGCAATTTACTATTCATTATGAACATGATAATAAATCTACTTTATATTTACACTAAATAAAAGAATATCAAGGGCACGACTAACAACTCGCCAATATAAAAGAATCTAAGATAAAAATCAATGACAACATTGCTATAAAAAAATGATCTATTTATCTTTTAGTAAATAATATATTCATAATTTACTCCTTAATAAAGAAATTAGTCAAAATTTTATCATATGAGTTAGCAATAAAAATATATTTTATGAGGGGAAAAGAGAAAAAGCAAAGTAAGAAGCCTAAGAAGATAATAAAGGAGAGAAGGGCTTATTATTACAGTTGCAAGGGATGAGGAAATATAGGAAAATAGGTGAATTTTAGTGGAAATGAAGGGGAGATAAGGACTCATGATGGAGGCTTTCTATGGTTCAATTGAAGAATGAAGGGTTCATTGGTTTTGAAGGGTGGGATTTTGAGTAGTTGCAAATGCCCTGAGGCACAGGCACAGTCTTCTTATATTGTGAGTGGAGACATGCCAGGAAGCATATGATTTATTTATTTATTTATTATTAGTTTGTGAATCATCATGTCTAAGTGTGTCGCACGAATCATGTGATTGTAAAGGAGGAGGCAAGTTGAGATCAAAAGATTGTTAGGGGCGAAGGATTATGCATGAGGTTTGGTCCAATTCACAAGTTTTGAATGGTTAAGAGTGCATTTGTTTTGGATTTCAGAACCGCATTTTCAACGAAATGGCTTTTTCTTTGTGTTTGGCTAGTTGCGTTTTCTGGTCCCGGTCAGAACAGCGGAGCGGTTTATTAATCTTCGCGACCGAGGGCACTGGGGTGCGTCTCACAGTTCTCAAATACACAAGCGCTGGGTTTTCCCTTCGCTACCCTCGCATATCATTCGCTTGCCCTAGTTGATTGTCGTTCCCCCCCAACTCTTCCTTTCCTAGGCATGTTCCTCCCTTTGGCCTCCTTGCATTTCTTTCACATGTCCTGCCCCTAGAGAAGTGTGGGGTTGTCCAAAGGTAGCATTATCAAAAAGAGAACAATAGCTTATATTTTTTTTCTATAGTACCTTCTGAACTTAATTTTTCTATAACCACAGCCAAAATAAACGTACTCTAAGTTTACAACACTTAACACATTTTATTATTTTGAGAGTATTCATGAAAATAATATAGATTTTATAATCCTTCTTTTTCAATTTAGAGTTAGGTCAAATACTTGTGAACATTAACATATATAACAAAACATTTTAATTGGTTTAAATATTGTGGATTTTTTATTTTGCAGCTCTTGTAATTTTCTTAATCACTATATACAAAAAGTCTTCATATCACATTATTACATAAAACTTACAACTAATTTCATGAAATTTCCCAGCATAATAAATTATTTTTTTAAAAGATTTACCTATGTATCACACACCCTCTATGCATGCTAAGTTTGCCACAACCAAAATAAACGTACCCTAAGTTTACAACACTTAACACTTTTTATTATTCTGAGAGGATACATGAAAATAATATAGATTTTATAATCTTTTTTTTTTCAATTTAGAGTTAGGTCAAATTCTTGTGAACATTAACACATATAACAAAACATTTTAGTTGGTTTAAATATTGTGAATTTTTTATTTTGCACCTCTTGTGATTTTCTTAATCACTATATACAAAAAGTCTTCAAATCACATTATTATACAAAACTTACAAATAATTTCATAAAATTTCCCAGCATAATAAATTATTTTTTAAAAAGATTTGCCTATGTATCACACACCCTCTATGCATGCTAAGTTTTTATTATGATGACACACTTATATTTAATTTCCCTAAAATCACCTTACTCAATAAATTATTTAAATATATGACATTTAAACTTTGATTTTTATATTTATATAATTTATCAATACTTAAAAGAAGCGTTTTTTTCCTTTAAAAATTACTAAAGTGATAGTTTTGATATCATATGAATGATATAATTTGATATCATATGAATGATATAAGTCTTATAAATGCAAAATAAATAAAAAAATGTATTAGATATAATTTGAATGATTAAAATGTTATTTTTAATATTTTAGGTGATTTAAAATAAAAAAAATGTATTGGATATAATTTGGATGATTAAAATGTTATTTTTAATATTTTAGGTGATTGTTGTGTAAAAATCTTAATTTTAAGCCAAGAGTGATTAAATTTTTAGATAAATTACTAATATTATTCAGAACTAGTCAATAAATCACTTTGAAGTTGAATTGGGCGAATTGCTGCCCACTTGGTCACCGCAGCTACGAGTCAGTCCTTCGGCCGGCTGTCTGCCGCCTTTCCAGGTAGCTGTTCTCGCCGGAAAAATCTCCGCTTACCACCATATCTCGCCTGATCCGGTGCCTATGTATCTGGTATGCGCTCTTCTTTACCTGGTCATAGCTGTCAGATCTGCTGTCTACTCTCTTCCCTCAAACCCTAAACAGTCTATTTTATATCATCTACCTCAACACCTGTTCGCCTTCTGCATCTATTCCGTCTTCCCTCCCACAGTTTTTTTCTTACCGCATGCCGATCAGATTATTGCTGCCGCTCTGCTGTTGCACTAACAGGCAGTGGCGGAGGCAAGACCACGGGTGAATGGCGAAAGCATAATTATAATAAAATTAAATTTCGTAGTTATCTAATGATTATGAGGATTACACTGTACCATAATCATTGTGACTGATGTCAGGCATGCTAAAAATTCAAACATTAATATGATATGAATCTTCTCAATTTTTGTTTAATAAACCTCATTCTGTTTTGGGAATATCTTGCTGTTCTCATCTTATGTCTTTGATCCACCTAACCTCTTAACCCTATATGATTAGTTTGCTCTTCAAGTAAGTATAGCTTCTGTTTGTACTTGGAATTGGATGCCTCTTTACTTCCAATAAATGCACTGAATGTCTATCCCATGCATCTGTCTTAGTTTTACTTGGTATGCTATCTAAAGCAGTTGTTTGCATTCTCCTATTACTACTTTTAATTGGTAAATAAGAAAGAAAAGGAACAGATAAAAAATGGGAGAATTATGTAGACGTTGATGATGAAACTACAAAATATGTAGTTGTAATCTCTGGGAAATATTTGTAATGTAGTTAATATTTGGCGTGCAATGAGCTTAATGGAGAAAAGTAGTAAGCATTTCAAATCTTCATCTGCTTGTACTTGTAACCTAGCACTCCATGTCCTCTGCCACATCACATTATGTCACAAAGAACTTTAAAAAAAATAATTATTGCAATGAGATAAGGATCACATCATTGACTCGTTATTACATTATTTATTAAAATGCTTATAATAAATTTTGCCATCATCGGCAATACAATGCAAATCCTAGGGAAAATCTATAAGGATGTAAAGTGAGGGCTGCAGTTATGTACAAGCATAGTAGGTCGATTGCAAAAAATAAATACCGCTCAAAATTCCTAATTCACCAAAAAAAAAAAAAAAAAAAAAAAAAAAAAAAAAAAAAAACTTTTGTATTTAGGATGGCTAGATTATCAAAGTTTCATAGGACTTTGGTTGATTAAACTGTGTATTAATCCAGAAAGGTATGGAGAAATTTTGTGAAGGAAACATTTTGGTTGCAGTCTTTTAATTTTTACAAGAACAGTTAATTTTACGGCTTAGAGGTATTTTTATGACTTCAATGACCAAGTGCTATTGCATTAGATTATACTTTGGGTTCAGATTGACAAATACAAGCTAATACAAACTCTTTGTTTAAATGTGAGCCTTAATGGTTTATAGGCATTTAAATGACCAAAAACCCAATGTTTAAAATCACTCAATTGAGTATTGGGACATTTTTTTATCAGGGAGACGAGGCAAAAGCGTGGAGATATTTGAGGCATAAGCCTTTAATTCAAAAAATTGCGTAAAGAAGAAAGGATTGTAAGTGTGAAGTTAGAAGTAACATTCTCACATGCAATCATATTAATACATTCAAAAGCAACATATTTTCATTCTAAAAAATTAAACGGTAATAAATTGCGCAAAAAAAATGTTAACATTCAAACATTTAATTATGAAATAAGGGGTTATACAAACATCAAACTGTCAAAATATGCTGAGATATCAAAATAAAATACTAACATGGTTATAAAGTGTGTAAAATAAGTTCAGCGTTAGTCTTTATCTCGCCAACATACTGTTCTCCTCTAGTAAAATAAGTTCAGCATTAGTCTTTATCTCGCCAACATACTGTTCTCCTCTAAAGTAAGAGTATAATAAGGCATCAACATTAGAATTTTTAAATTAAAAATTTTCATCACTTTCATTACACAATAAGTCTTCATTAGAATCAATGATATAATAATTGTCTTCAAATCTATCACATTCTCAGTTATATTCATATTCTCCCTTTCTTTATTTTCAATCTTAGTCATCTTCCTTTTTTTCCTAATCAATAATAGTCAACAAAACATTAATTCAATTTTAAATTAAAGACTATGTTTATGGTCAGAACCTCAATCAAATTAATTTTGATGGATGCATTATTTATTTATTTTTTGTTGGCTAATGTGTTAGTCATGAGGGTTTATAGACATGCATATTGATATTATATTTTAGTTTTTGTTGAAACAAATTTATGGACTTCCTTTAAAAAGTGAGGTGGGGCGTGCCTTTAGGCCTTCCTCAGCCTAGTTGATGCGCACGCCTTACCTGAGAACAATGAGGTGAAAGGCTCGTTATGACTATTTTGTAAAAAGAATTGAAGTACACCTTATATTGCACAATTTTCAATGAGGCTAAGAATATTATAAGTCATTTAGATTAAATATGATTGGCATGTTGGTGACATCTTTTAAAGACGCCACATGGTGTCTAGAGATGAGGAATCATCATGGCATGAGAGGATAGGTGGGCTTGAATGTTGGGATTAAACGCTGACAATCCATCTTATGGCAAGATGATGGGCAACCTCGAGATGAAATGATGAGTTGCCCTTAGCCGATAGAGGGAATCAGGTTAGTGAGATGCAACTTGGTGGGAGGATAAATGATGGCTAGGTGATGACGTAAGAATTGGCACAATATTTATTTGACAAGGTATATTTTGACCTATTTTGGGAAGAAGGCCTTGATAAGGGAGCTTCCGCTGATCATTGGATCAATAAATTTTGCATTTCAAATCGTGGGAATTCCACAATATCGTGGAATTAGCTGCTTTTTGCTAATGTCGGTGAGCCAAAACCTCTATTTCCATACTAATTCTATTTATGCTTGGATTTTTTCCCTTTTTGATTTTTTTTTATTTCTTTATTTCCAATTAGGTGCCTTTCTATTAGAATACTATATATGCGTTTTTTTTACGACGAAGCCTAAATGGAAGAAGCAACGATGGCAAGCAAAGGAGATCTGAAGAAATCATGAGGCGACGAGCAGACGAACGAACGAAAATCAAGACATCCTCCCTTCCCATCCTACAAGAAGGCTAGAGGGAAGGGAGTCTTGACAGTGCTCCAACAATTATCGGTGGTTAGGTAAAAATCTGGCTCTGATAACATATCAAAATCTTGATAAAAATAGGCTGAATACTGAATAGACTCGATTGCCTTTTCCCTTTGACTGAATATTAAATAGACTCGATTGTCTTTTCCCTTTGCTTTCATTACATTAAATAACAATCTTACAATCTATTTTAGGTACAAAATAAAGTGCATATAATCTATTTTAGGTAACTTAATAATACATATTTCTAATCTAAATATTCAGCTAAAAGGAAAATATATAAGAATAAAGATATTGGAAATAAGGAATATTCTAATTATAAAAAAACTCTTAATTTAGCTGCCTGATTTTCATCCTCACTGATTGACATCCCCCCCTCAAATTGATGCTGACTCATCAGAAAACATCAATTTGCCAACAATAAGTTGATAACATTTTCGTGACAAAAAATTCTCAAGCCGTGAGTGCCGAAGCCTAAAAGTGTCGAAGTCTGATAATGTCGGAGCCTGAGAGTGCCGAAGCTTGAAAGTGTCGAAGCCTGAGATTGCCGATGCCTCAGAGTGCCGAAACCTGAAAATGCCGAAGCTCAAGAGTGCCGAAGACCGAGAGTGTCAAAGCCTCAGAGTCACGAAGCCTAAAAATGCCAAAGCCCAAAAGTGTTGAAGCTCGAAGCCTGAAAGTGCTGAACCCAAAAATGTCGAAGCCCGAAAGTGGCATTATTGCAGGACGGGAAGGGAGGAACTATCACTTTGCCTTGATTCTCGCACTTCGAATCTTTCGGTCTGAAACTTTCTTGAGCCTTTGGGAATCATTTGTCTTCATCTTCAAACTCATTCCATCTTCATCGAGATTGCTGAAGCCTGAAAGTGTCGAAAAGTGCCGAAGCTCGAGATTGTTGAAGCCTGAAAGTGTCGAAAAGTGCCGAAGCTTGAAAATGCCGAAGCTCGAAAGGCCGAAGTCAAACTGGACGAAGATGAAATGGAAGAAGCAATCGAAGATGCTGCAGAAGCAGCGATGACTAGCGAAGAAGATCCGAAGCGTACGAAGCGAACGAGATCGCAGATTGCAGATGAAAATTGAATTGCAGACAAGATAACTAATTGCGGGATTTTGACTTTCGAGGGAGCGCCAATGTTGGAGGCGGATGCGGTGGTTGTGATGACGACGCTTATGGAAGCATTGACAATTTGTCATTGGAGAGGAGTTGCTCATCGGGACATGAAATTGGACAACGTGCTGTTTGATGGTGAGGGGCGGCTTAGGTTGGAGGACTTTGGATTGATAGATTTCTTCAAGGATGAGCTCGACAGGTTTGAGATTATTTGCGATGATATGGAGGGGAAATCACTTCGCAGATACGTCAAATCCAATTTATCCGATATGGATTGGCTTCGCCATGATCTTAAAAGTTCTATTGATTTGATCAATGTCGCCATCAGTGCCACACATCCTTCCAGCACGATGCCCTTTCGTCTGAGCAAGAGAATGATGAACGCAGAGAGCAGGTGAAGATGGAATGAGTTTGAAGATGAAGACAAATGATTCCCAAAGGCTCGAGAAAGTTTCAGACCGGAAAGATTCGAAGTGCGAGAATCAAGGCAAAGTGATAGTTCCTCCCTTCCCGTCCTGCAATAATACTTTCGGGCTTCGACGAGAAGGGAGTCTTGACGGCCCTCCAACGATGATCGGTGGTTATGACAAAAATTTGGATCTGATACCTTGTCAAAATTTTGAGAAAAATAGGCTGAATACCGAATAGGTTCGATTGTCTTTTCCCTTTGCTTTCATTCCATTAAATAATAATCTTACAATCTATTTTAGGTACAAAATAAAGTGCATATAATCTATTTTAGGTAACTTAATAATACATATTCATAATCTAAATATTCAACTAAAAGAGAATATATCAGAATAAAGATATTAGAAATATGAAATTTTCTAATTATAGACTACTCTTAATTTAGCTGTCTGATTTTCATTCTTCTTGATTGTCGTCTAATTTGCCGCCTACTGCTATTCGAGAGCAGAAAACAATAGTTTTTTCTTTCCAATTCATTGTCATCCCGTCGTTCATGCCTGATCTCCGCCGACGTCCCTCTTACTTCCATCACCTATCCTACAACCTACCTAACTCTTTCTTGTTTTATTAATATCTTCTAGGAGGTGTAGAACGATATCATCAGGTACTAGAGACCAACAAATCCTAAATTTTTAGGAAATTCACCTTCTTACCCCAAATTCAAAATTTCAAACAAAAATCCCACCATATTTAAGTCATTTCTACTGAGATTCCAGCCTCAACCCTAATTTTTTAAAATTCAATATTTCTGGCATCAATAAATTTCCACATTGACGCCCATCACCAACATTTAAGCCCCTTACTAACCTTTGATTTGCAATCCTATATCTACTGAAAACAGGATCGTGGAAAATGACGTCATGTCATAAAGGAGAAACTTACAACGAGGTGTCCGGGAGTTTATCACGGAAATATGTTGTGGGAATAGAAACTTACCTTTTTTGAGAGGATACAATCCATTGAGGTCATCCATAATCATTATGTTGATTTGTCATATTGAGAGGAGGAAATAATTCTCTTTTACCATGCAATTTGTAGTTACGAAGAATTAAAAAAAAATGACGTCATGTCATAAAGGAGAAACTTACAGCGAGGTGTCCGGGAGTTTATTACGGAAATATGTTGTGGGAATAGAGACTTACCTTTTTTGAGAGGATACAATCCATCGAGGTCATCCATAATCATTATGTTGATTTGTCATATTGAGAGGAGGAAATAATTCTCTTTTACCATGCAATTTGTAGTTACGAAGAATTAAAACCTTAATAAGTTGGACATGGAATATAACAGAAGAATTCAATATTTTAGAATAAAGATTGATTTACCAAATTTTGACGGTTGCATGGATCTGGAAAAAATTTTCAAGTGGCTCCAAGCAGTGGAACTTGTTTTTGAATAAAAAGATATCCCATCTAACAAAATGGTAAAGCTGGTCGTCATTTAGTTAAAGAAAAGTGTTTCTCTTCTAGCTGATAATTTCAAGTGATGAAGAATTAAAACCCCATTGATTTGAAATGGAATATGAGAGAAGAAGTCAAGATTTTAGAATAAAGGTGGATTTACTAAATTTTGACGGTTGCCTTGATTCAGATGAAGTCATGGAGTGACTCCAAGTAGTGGAATATGTTTTTGATTACAAAGACATCCCGTCAGACAAAATGGTAAAGATAGTCGCCATTAATTTAAAGAAAAGTTCATTTTTGTAGTAGGAAAATTTGAAGTATCTACGCCAGAGTGAGAGAAAAAAAAATATTATTTAGTCCAAGATGGAAAGTGAAATGCAACACATGTACCTACCAATTTATTACAAACACGACATATTCTTGAGATTTCAACAAGATCTCTTAGTAGAGTTGTATCCAACCGAGTTTGACCAATTTATGTTGAAATGTCGGCTAGTAGAGCTCAAGGAGAACAACATAGCTTGATATTTGAGGGGATTGAAATCGTCTATTGACAATGTGGTACAATTACAATGTTATTGGACATTTCAAAATGTTCAGACGCTAGCCTTGAATTTGGAGAGACAATTAATCAGTATCATGTCCACACCATCTTTCAAACAGATTCAACCATCAGAGCTGGTAACAAGGTTACACCCATTGTAACACCTAAACAAACCCAACAAGAGGAGGAACCTGTACACAGTGGAGAAAAATTGAAAACATCTAGTACTCTTAGATTTGTCCCAGCTAAGAAGTGTCTCAAGTGTCATGGTTTTGGGCACATTGCATTTAATTGTCTAAATAGAAGGATGAATTCTCTCACTAAGCAGGAAACAATTAAAAAAATTTACAATGATATAGGGGAGAATGAAGAAGCCAAAGAGGAGTATTTGCTGTCAGTCGACGAGTAAGAGATGCTAGTGATTCAAGCCGAGCCAATGAGAGAAAATCCAACTGGGTGAGCATTGGTTGTTCTAAATGGTAGTGAGTCTTAGGAGTCGATATCTGAAAAGAGGCAGCCCTTGTTGAGGGAGTCGCTCGATATCTTGATCGATTGTTTACTTCTTGGGTGACCGCAATTGGGAGTGATTCAGCATACCACATATTTCATTTCAGAGTTGATTTTTCCATATAGTATTTTTTTTTATCATATCCGCTTAACCGAGTACAAGGAGTGGGAGAAACATATTACAGATTTAATGACTCTAAGCTTGATTTGCAAGAAAATCTGTGTGCAATTTTAACTCTGGTTGTACCAAAAGAAGATGATTACTTATTCTATCAGGACAATCTTTAGAATGACGTATGTGCTTTAGAGTTGAATGGAATGGACATGAGTATAAATATTATAGTTGGGCTTCCTCAACCACAACACTGCAATGACTTTATTATGGTGGTAGGTCAAATTTAGAAGCTTCCAAAGAAGAAAATGAAGCTTCTCCTAGTCGGGGAGAATGACACGGGAGCATCCGCTGATCACAAAATTTTTTTCCTTTTATATTTTTTCTTTCTAATTATTTATTGTCAATTAAATGTCATTCTATTAGAAGACTATAATTTGTGTGTATTTTGCTGTTTAAGGAGGATTTTAATTCTATTTATGGTATTTGAAGATATTTTCTCTTGTTTTCTCTATTGGAATGTTATATCTTTAGATTTTTTTTCAGGTGGTGTTCAGGTGGTGTGTTTGTTAGCTAGATAGGATCGAAGTGGTATTTTGTCCCAGACATTTGGAGGTCTCCTTTGTCGTTCAATTTACTGTCTACTGTTGTTTGACAGCAGAAGACAACAGTTCGCTTCCAATTCGTTGTCATCCAACTGTTTACACCCGATCTTAGCCGACATCCCTTCTTTTACTTCCATCAAATGTCCTACAACCTACCTATCTTCTTGTGTCTTAAATGCCTTCTAGGAGCCCTAAAACGGTATCAACCCTTATATGGGAAGGAGTTTGGGTCTACCTAAAAGAAGCTTTAATGAGTTTCTATTTTTGGACAATAGCCACTCGACAGTGAGTGGAGGGAGGGTTGTCCGGTGGGTGACTTAGTGATGGATTAGAAGAGGTAGGTAGATACACACTTCAAGTGGATGAGGGGGAGGGGTTGCTATAGCATTGGTGGTGGGAATTAGTGTGTGGTTGATGACACTATAGCCTGAACCTTGAGAGATAACAACGAGAACCATAACTCTTAATGAGAAAGAGGTGTTAAAAGATAACTGGCACAATGCAACAAAAAGAGTTAGTTGTTGACATAGTGAATCAACAAGTACATAAACACAACAATAGGGTAATGGGAACAATATGTAATAACTATCTTACTGAAGGAATTCTACATCAGTCTGCCTAGCTTAAAAAAACTGGCTTTAATAAATTGACCATTTGATATTTATCAAGCTGATGCAGGCAAATTGTTTGTGTTTTTGCATGGAGGCTTATGAATCATCATTTTCTTACATGACTTTTAAGTATAACAAGCTAAACCATATGAAAGCTTGCACACTTATTGATGTGTCTCTTGCTTCAGGATTGGACGCAGGACTACCACGCGTAAGCAGACAGAGCGTCTGCTTGCTTGGACCGAACCGGTTCTCGCTTTCTTGTGTGGTGGAGTGCCTGCCGGCCCTTGGGCCCACACTTATTTATCATGTTGTTGTATATTTCCTTTCATGAGAATCCAGGGTTAGTTTTTGCATTTGATTCTTAGGGACAGTCTCCGGCGTCTTTTTTTTTCTCTTCGAGGGCTATATCCAAGGGTCGAGTGGTGCTTCCTTCCTGCAGTTTTTTATCTTCTAGTCATGCCATCTGCCTTTTGGTTTGCTGCTGTCGGCCGGGATAGCAAGGAGTTGCTGTCCCTGCCTTTTCCAACTCCATCCTTTGCCGCCTCCCGCCTCCCGCCTCCGTCCTTTGCTGCCGCCACCCAAAACTGCAGCCCATCCTGCTGTTTCTGCCTTTCCAGCCATCATTCCATCTTTATGCCACCTGGACTGCCTCTTATCCTGCTGTCTCTGCAGTTCCCGCCCACTGCCCCTTGCTGCAATAATACCATTTGCCCGCGCTACCGTCACCCGGAACAAACAACCTGCTTTTCTCCGGGCTCCCAGACACCGCCAAAACAGCCCACCAGACACCATTGCTGCAACACCTTCCTCCCACACCCTTCCAATCATTCCAGCTGCCTACCACCCCTTTTCAATCCGCGTAGCCGACTACCACCATCCCGGGATCAGACCCTCTTCCGAGTTTTCGTTGTCATGTATGTTGCTATTTCAGATTTCAGTTGTGTGGAGTTATAATTTCCTATTGATTTTGGTAATAATATTTGTTTTCCCGTTATTGTTGGTTATCTCCAGAATCATTTATAGTTTTTATAGATGAGCACTCAATGAGCTCAGAAACCTTAACATGTGTATACCAAGCTGGATAATTTTAATTCTTTAGAAAATCCACTTAGTTCCAAATCAGAAAATGTTAAATATATTTACCTTGGACAAATCAGCATTACAACTAATCCCTGTAAAATTGGGAAAATTTATACTCTGAAACGCCAAACTTTTTACTTGACAACATCAGAAAGTAATATTAAAACAGATTCAAGCCCTTCTTTCTGTGGCTCTTAATCAGCTTTGTAACAAATTCTTTATTTTGGAGTTCCATAAATTAATTTATATCATAAACAACAAAGTTGATATAGTAATGAAGCTTCGTGGGGTTCAAACCATCAAAATTTTGCTAGTAGCAATGGGCACTTGGGATGATAACAGTGACGTCCTAGATGTTCACTTGATCATGAAAATACTAGTCATTTTTAAGGATTAGGAATGCACCCTCTACTTTTAAAAGACTTGATATTCGTTCTTTTTTTCTTTGCTAACTGAGAATATGCGATAATTATTTATGCTTTTACGTGCTTACTTTCCTGTAGTTTGGTCTGTTATGAATAATCAGAACATAAGATTCTGGAAAAATCACTACTAATTTTGATTTGTCTGAAGTCAAAGAAGCCTTCTAGCTTGATGTAATTTGATTGAATATAGTTTAACTGATATCAATTTCAAATTAGCTTGAATTTTTAGGATTTTTAATCAAGCTTGCCCTACTGGAATGAATTCTGGCTTTGAGTCAATTAAGAAAAAAAAATTGAGCTTGTTTGGGCTCACTTTTATTTATTGTTATTATTTTATTTTTGCTTTTATTTTAAAAATGTGTTTGTTTAGTGTATTTTTTTGCATTTTTTTATTTTTTATTTTCAAAAATAAATTAGCTTGCTTTTTAAAATACTCAAATATTCAAATTTAATTTTGATTGTTTTTAAGAATAACTAAAAATATTATAACATACCAACTATGTTTTATTTCAAGTAAAAACACAACAAAACAAAGCAAAATAAAAATTAAAAAAAATGAAAAAATAAGTCAAAATGATCCCAAATGTCTCCCTAAATTTTGAGTTGCATCAAACTCATTTGAATTCAACTTAATGTCAACCCACTAATAGGCAATGTGTTGGTGTTGCTTTTTGTTATTTGACATGCCTGTCTTACTATTAAGAGATAAGATATACTTTAACAGATTTTTATATAAATTTCTTGCTTGTTTTTCCATTTTTCTTGTTCTCATTCACTTCAAAAAACACTGATAATTTTTCATATTAGTGTTGCTGCTTTATATTAACTTGCAAAATTTTCAGTTTTAAAAATTGTCTTTAAATGTCAGGTTTTAGTACAATTTGCGAGGCTGCAGAAGGAGCATGTTTGTGCATTCTGATGTGGTTATGACCAGCTTATTTCCAGTAATGGGGCAATTCTGATATTTTCTTTAGCTTAAAGATATTTTGTCAAATGTCTCAGTGATAAACATGACTTCTTACCTCAGCAGCCTCCAGGATTAGATACATTCAAACTTATCAAACAGAAAGGAAGTATGCGGTTGTCTTCTTCACTACAAGATCTACCTACTTATACTAAAGTAAATTCTGAAGAATGTGATTCTGTAACAGATAGAAGTTATAACAGCAAATCTTCACGTGTTTTACAAAGAGAAGCTGCTACTTCAAGCTTTTCAAAGGAGAAATCCTTATCAGCCTCTACATCTATATCTAAGCAATGGATACGTGCAAGCATATGTTTTTCTTTGCTTCTCCTATTATTTTTATTTATGTACGCCTGCTCAATATATTTTAGGAAATCTTTCAAACATGCGTCATCCAAGTACTATGTTGTCCTTGATTGTGGAAGTACTGGCACTAGAGTGTATGTCTATCAGAGCTCACCAGTTCAATATAAAGGTGATAGAGTTTTACCATTTTCATTAAAATCTTTACCCGAAAGCTTCCAAAAGAAAGCCATTTCTCAGAGTGGTCGTGCTTATCGACGAATGGAAACTGAGCCGGGTTTTCATAAACTTGTACACAATGACACCGGTTTGAAGGCTGCCATCAATCCACTTCTGAAGTGGGCTGAGAAGCAAGTACCCGGTCATGCTCACCAAAATACTGCCATATTTCTGTATGCTACCGCTGGTGTTCGCCGTCTACCAAAGTCTGATTCACAATGGCTTCTTGACAAGGCATGGTCTATTTTAAAGAATTCATCTTTCTTGTGTCGCAGAGAATGGGTCAAGGTCATTACGGGAATGGAGGAGGCTTACTATGGATGGTTAGCTCTTAACCATGACAAAGGCATGCTGGGATTGTCACCGTCCAAAGGAACATTTGGTTCACTTGATCTAGGAGGTTCATCATTGCAAGTAACTTTTGAGATTGACAAACCTGTTAATGATGAGACTGGTGTTAATTTGAACTTAGGACCTATTAGCCATCATTTGAGTGCATATTCACTACCTGGCTATGGACTCAATGATGCATTTGATAAATCTGTCTTTTACCTTCTCAAAAGGCTTGCCAGAACTGGAAAACCTGTCTCGACTGCTGACAAAATAGAGCTTGAGCATCCATGCTTACAAACTGGTTACAATGAAGAATATTTTTGTTCTCAGTGTGCTATGGTAAACTCTGAAGAAAGTCTTCTGATTGGAGGTAGAGCTGTGGGAAAAGGTGCTGCTGGATTGCCTATTAAATTGATTGGTGCACCTCAGTGGGACGAGTGCAGTGCACTTGCGAAGCAAACAGTTAGCCGATCTGAATGGCCAGACTTAAGCCCATCCATTGACTGTAAACTAAAGCCTTGTGCTCTTAGTGACAGCTTACTTCAGCCTCGTGGAAATTTTTATGCCACTTCAGGTTTTTTTGTGGTCTTCCGATTTTTTAATTTAACCGCTGATGCTTCCTTAAATGATGTTCTACAGCGAGGTCAGGAATTTTGTGCAAAAACTTGGACTGCTGCAAGGGGAAGTGTTTCCCCGCAGCCTTTTATAGAACAATATTGCTTCAGAGCTCCCTATATTGTTTCTCTCTTAAGGGATGGATTGCATATTGAAGATGAGGATGTTTTCATTGGCTCTGGAAGCATTACATGGACATTGGGTGTTGCCTTGCTGGAAGCTGGACAGGCATTTTCAAGCAGAATTGACAAGGGTTTCAGAATACTTCATACAGATATAAGTCCCAGCATTCTTCTTCTATTACTTGTGATGTCAGTTATTGGAGTTTTATTTGCACTCTACTGTGTTAACAATCCAGTCACAAGAACTTGGCTTCCCCAGCGTTTTTATCTTCCATTGTTTAGAAGAAATAGTGCAGCTTCCTCTGCAAGGGGAATCCCTTCTCCTTTTGGCTTGCCAAGATGGATTCCTATCAATACAGGTGAACCTTTTAACACATACTAGCAAGAACTTAATCACTTATGAACTCTAGACATTACAGCATCAAGAGTTTTTATATCTTGGTTATAGAACCACACATTTTACGTGGGGTAAAGTAAAAAAAATAACTAAATAAAATAAAATAAAAAAAAGGAAATAAAATAAGTCACTTGCTCCAGCTTGATTCACCAAATAACTGCCCCTGCTATTTTTTCCCTCATTTAAATATTAAAAAAAACTTATTTGAAGCTTGGAGAAAAGGGCTTGGATCGGGTCAGTTACAACGGAAGAACCACAAGTGAGCGAGAGAAGAAACTGCCCCCTCGGTTCGACTGTTGGAGAAGCTGGCTGTTCGCAGTGCAGAAAAGCCCCCTTTGCCCTTGTCATCTCACGATACACTAGTGACTGGAGATAGTGAGGAAAGCCACGATAGACATCCCCTATTGCAGGAATTGCGCACAACCGACCTACTGTTCCCTTTCCACTTCGCCTTCTTCCTCCTTATTCTAAGCCAATCTTGTACCTGTCTTCCTTCTTCGTTTACGCACGTCACCCCTCCCTGCGTGAGTGTGATTAACTAGTGGTAACAATAATGACGCGATCGCAGTGTATGATGACATCCGAAACTCTCGCTCTTCTTTTCATCACAAGTTGAAGTAGAAACCCCCTTGTCCACTCTTCTACTTGCCTACTTCTCATACAGTCACAAATAGAACAAGTGGGAAAAGTAGTAACGGGATTGCAATATATAGAGACTTTCAAAACTTTTCTATGTTCTTGTTCACACGTTGAAATTAACCCCCAGATCGCCTGTCACTACTTTGCTTTCTACCTATGTTTGTAGGAATCCTCCTTCGGCCTCTTTCTTCTTCCTCTTCTGGGACATCTAGCCAGAAAGAGAACGACGAGATCGTAGCTGCAATCGTGATTTTCGTTAACTGGAAAAGGAATTGCGGTGTACAGAGGCCCAAATCACTCGCCAGACTGCCGCGATTTGCACTAAATGGGGGAAGCAATGATGAACTCGTGGCATATAAAGATGTTTTAACTCCCGTATTATTTCTACTTCTGCCACATCTCCTTGTCTCTCTCACCGAATTCCTCAATCTTTCTGCCTCTGCCTCGCTCGATTGATCATTTTTGCATTGACCTAAAATTAAGAGCTTCTCATTTTCTCAAAACCCATATTCGTTGCTTTTTGTCAATCTATAGGACCTCCTGAACCGGGCCTTCACTAGTAATGTTATTAGAAGCCGAGCACTCAACTGTATAAAAAGAAAAATGTAAGAATTGTGTTTTACATTTAATTTATTGTCATCTTTGATTGTCGACGTCAACACCATTGGATTTTGAAAAGATATAAATGCAAGATATCAGGTTCCTTTCAATTTTATGTCGAAAAAGCGAAGGCTCGTGTGCGTCTTATAAATCAGTGGATTAGAAGATCTTTTCCAGCCAAAAATGCAGGAAAGGTGAAGACCCACATGCGTCTTATAGACCAGTGGATTAGAAGATCGGACCACAGTGTTTCGCAGCATTGACCAGCACATCTTATAGACAGTTGGGTAGGCAAGCACTCAGATATAGTCTATTAACTGGGGACGACGCAGAGATGTTGCCGAAATTTCTAGTGATTTTGGACTTGTTAAATAATTTAAAATTTCGACTTTGTAAACTTCTAAAATCACCAAAATTAAATTATTTGAATTTTTAAACAATAATAATAATACTAATATTTACGATTTGATTGTCAAGGCTAACAAATGATTTCGAAAGTTTGAATTCCTTAAAATTTCAAATAACTCAAATGTGAGAATTGGGAGGACTAAACTTAAATTGAATATCGAATTATATAAATTGGGGCCTGAAATTGACTTGAATATAAAGTATCATAATTTTGTGGCTATGCTTAGATAGATTTGGTATGGAATATAATAAATTGGGGTTAAAGCTTGATTGGGTCTAAGTTTAAGAGCTGGTAAATCGACTCAATCATGAATGGATAAATTAGAACTAAATTCAAGAATATAAATGTTATTTTTTTAATGTTAAACTATGACTTCATATGTTTAAATCACCACCGTATTCACAATACTCCTGGTAGTGAATAAAAGGCGACCATTTTAAGCTATAAATGAGTTTATATAAATGCAAGAGCATTTTTTGAAGTATTTTAAAATTTGAATAATTTCAAGGCATACAAATTTCAAGAATGTTTTCTAAAACAAATATGAAATGTAACACTTGGAGATCCATGAAAGTATTTTATTACTTGCATGAGTTAAAGTTTGGATATTCTTATGTAAATTTAGAATATCTACATAAATAAATCAGCTATGCTTAAATTGAAACTGTTGCATATGCCCCTTTATGAAACAAACAGCCTCTTAAGCACATATTTTAAAGTTAGCATCTAAGTCACACAAAGTATGCAAAGTTTTTGAAAATGTGCTAGCATATAAAGTTAAACGTTTGCATGTGCTCCAACCAATGTATAGAATGTTCAAATATTAGGTTTGACAATGCTGTGTAGGCTAATTATGCCGCTTTGTCTATAGGGCAAGGTTATAAGTCCCACACCACTAGTTCGATCATTCTCATCGCAAGGGTTGGAGTTGACTAGTATAGTAAATCTAATAACGTACAAATTCTAAAGATAAAAATTTAAAAGTCCAAATCATCAGTCCAATATTCCTCCTTTTAAGAACAAGAGTCGACATGACATACCCTGAAAAGACTAAGGGTTTGTTTGGGGCAGCTGTAGCTTATTGAATAGTTTGCTGATAATATTATTAAAAATAATCAACTAATAAGCTAGGTAGAGTAGCTATTACAAATTTTTATTTTTATGGAAACACTAGACCGCAACTAGAAAGCTGCCACCGCACCTAGATAGGTGCGGTGTGAAAATGTTATTTTCAGCGTTTTGAAAACGCATAAGCTGTCAAAATGCAGTTTATCCAAACAGACCAGGTGCGTTTTCAAAACGCCACCGCACTAAATAAGTTGTCTCAAACAAGCCCTAAACTAACTGCCACTTCAAATATAAATTTTTTAAATGCTTCAATCCTTGATGATGGCCAACAAAAACAACAACAACTTGCGTCCTATTTATTGTCATATTTTCATTTAGTTCTAATAAATTAGGATCATTTTTTATACAATAAGCCCAAGTCTTCCTAGGTCTACCTTTACCTTTCTTAACATAAGTCGAATTTAGAACATCTACTCTCCTACAAACGTATCATCAGATAATCGATTTTTAATGCGACCAAACCATCTAAGACGACTCTCTAATTTTGTCAGCCACAAGAGCTACACCAACCTTATCACGGACATATTCATTTCATGTTTTGTCTCTAAGTGTAAAGCCACTCATCCACCTAATCATTCTCATCTCGGCAACACTTAACTTAATATTATGCTTCTTTTTTAAAGGCCAACATTCAACACCATAAAACATTGCAGGCCTCACCATCAATTATGACTATTATAACTAAAATATTATTATACATATGTGATTACCAACTTTATAATTATATAATCTCTAATTGAGGATAAACGTTTACATATATTTACAAGTACATATTGGATTACTTTGACTAGACAAGACCACATGATTTTTTCTCCAATAATTTTTTTCATATAAAAAATCTCGGCATTTCCTGATACAATTATTTTTTTTCAATTGTGTGTCTGTCGCCTTTTGTATCTTCATGTAATGCTAATACATTAATATACTACTTTCCCGTCGCAAATTTTCCGACTCACCATAATAATAATAATAATAATAATTGATGCATGTCGAAAAATTTGCTAGGAAAATATTTAGTCAACCCTCCTTCAGTTCACACACAAGTAACAACTCTAGTATACATATCTTTAATGACTTGAATATAAGTCATATCAACACCTTTCTTCCCAAGAACTCTCCAAAGGATATTTCTTGAAACCTTATTGTAAGCTTTTTCTAAATCCTTAATGATGACCGTGTTGATAAAAAATTTCTACCCGAAGGGACCAATCTCTTAAATTAAAATTTTCAAAAAAATCAACTAAAACTTATGTTAAAATTCAATCAAGAAAAGCTAAGCAAAATTCATTCACCCTCCGTAACAGTTTGTTGCGGGTGATAAATTTCTCACCAACTTCAGCTCAAAAAGAGCTAACATCATATTAAATGCATTTCTATATTCACAATCAAAATAATTAAATGTCAGTAAGGAAGTGACCTGAGTTTTTTGTCCACGTGGTTTGACCCAAATGCTCCACAAATTATCGGTTACGACCAGAGCTCGTTGACCGGGCGGTTGCCTCCAAATGACACCATTATATTACAGTCACTGTCATAACTCGTATGCTCTCAAATGATTTTCTTCTCTTTGAATTGTCAATCATAAGGCTACAAACAAGTGATTGACACAACATTTTATTAGCTAAGGTCTGACTTAAAATTTATCTCCTTAGACAAACATCTACCTCATTTCTACAAAGATTTCTTGGACGACACAACCCATGACTATTGACAAGAATCTTTTTGTCAGGTTGGGTCGATTACGTTCTCTGACTAAGTAGATCAGAGACTGACGATCCGAGATGACGGAATCATGAGGTCTTGATTGGGTTTTGTCTTCATTTCTTCACCATCTACTTTAAGCTTCAAGTGATGAATTTTGCAATTTAAATTATGTATTTCTGCTATTATATATTATATTTTTAATTCTTAATGACTAGTCTTAATCGAAAGTGCTCTCTCGTTATCAGGAGGGGTAACCATAGGGGCTTGCGCATATGGGAAACCTCGAACTCTAGATAAAAAATTTCTCGCTAAATGAGGGTGAAATCTCTGGGTAGTGTCTTATCTACAATCCAATATGTATTCTGAAAATTCGACCCTCCTAAGCTTTCTCAAAACAAAAATAAAATAAATGCAGAGAGCTATCCTGCGGAGTGGTCGTGAATTTTTGGAGTCCGCAATGCACATGAGTATCGCCACCTGCACATGTGATTACTATTTAATTGACAAATGACTTTGAACTCTGACACAATTGATTAAGTGTTTGTGACTCTCTCTCTCTCTCTCTCTCTCTCTCTCTCTCTCTCTCTATATATATATATATATATATATATATAAATAACACAATTG